CTGGGGAATTCTGGGAGTTGAAGTCCACACAGCTTAAAGCGCCCAAGGTTGAGAAACACTGATCTAGGGGTTGTCTTCCAAGCCTCCAGAAAGAAGCCAGTCCAAGCCAATCATGCCTCCTCTGTGGCACAGAAAACCATGGCAGCAATTTTGGAATTCCATCATACACAGGGAAGGTACTTCATTCCAGCCCCCATTAAATTATTTGTTGCAAAATTATTATACGGACTGCAATTAGGCTTATAGTCTAATTTTGGACCTCCCCCCCGCCCCCCACACACAAATCCAGTCACACTACCGAAAACCCTCCTTTATGACTCCTAGATGTGTTCCAAATATACTGAGACTAGAGGTCAGGCTGTTTAGAATCAGAGGCAAAATCTGGCAAGCTGTTTTATTAGCATCGCTAAAGATCCATCTGGCTCCAGCCAGACTGCTTTCCTTTCTAATATCTGACCATCTTAGGTCACAGCGGTGGAGGAGTATTATGAACCAATTGCGATCATATGTCCCTCTCCAGAGTATTTGTTATTGTTAGGGTTAGATAAGGCCAAAGAAATAATTGAGCAGCAGATTCAGGATGTAGAGTGGCAAAATGATTTAATTCAACCTTCAGGAAGATATCACCCTCAGGGAGATCCAGAGAGCCTCCCTGCAACTTATCTATTTTCAATTACATGAATATTGATGGGCATTCTTCAGAATTTGTTTTAACGCCCTCCATTAAGAATGCATCCTTCTGCATTCTTTGGGGATAGATACAATACTGTTTCAATCTCTCAGAGATTTTGCCTCTGCAAAGTAAGGTAGACCCAGGCAGTCAAACACCCTCTTATGCTGCAAGCTTTAGGCTGATTTTCAATTGAGGCTAATTTCCCAGATCACATTTTGTATTGATTATTTATTTGCTGACAAGGCATCAGAAAGTAATACACTTAGCTGAAAAATTTTGCTTTTTTGCAACTGGAACCTATTACTGTATTTTTAATGGATTGGAGCAGATAGCTAATTATATTGTCTAAAGTTGTGCAGTGGAGATGATCATTGCAACACAAACCCTGCTATTCCCAATGATGGGCTGTTGGCATCTTTGCATCCACTGACTAGGAGAAGGAATGGCTCAGTCACTTGTATTGTGGGAAAAGGGTCATTGGCTCTGTTTAGAGTAAGGGACACCCCTTAGGATCAATTAGCTCCTTTCTGGCCTGTCCAGAATATACTACCTCCCCTCTTGACCCTGTGAATTGATTTGTGGCAACTGGGCAATCACATTAAGAGCCAAGTTAGTTCTGCACTGGATTCACGTTGAGCAAAAAAACCAAAAAACAAACCCAGATCGCCATATTAACTTGTTGGACCCATAATAATAGAGTCTTGTGAGACTTCAAGATAAACAAGGACATTATGACAAAAGCTTTGTAGGCTGGTCTCCAAATCATTAGATACTTGAAATTTAAAAAAAGGTTTTTAAAGATTCCATTGCAAAGCTACTGAATTAGAACATTTTAAAAAAAGATCCAATTATGTAAGCCTGACCATGAAGTGTCACAATAATTCTTTTCATCTCATCACAAATTTTAATTAATGTAATAAAGCTAGAATGAATGGTTTATCCTTAATTCCTGCTGTCATAAATGATCACTATGTTCCTACTGCATTAATTTAAATTTAAACGTGTCGTCCCAAACTGTACTTTTGCTATTTTATTGCCATTTGACCTCATTTATTATCTTTACCCCGCTACACCCATGCCCATATATATCTGTCAATTGTGGATAATGCTTCCTATGGCTGATGAAATGGATTATAGTTGATGAAAACATTGGCCAAGCACTATAGCAGAATTGTATTAATACATATAATTCTTAGGCATAATTGAAATCACACCCACCTTAACCTAAATCCACATGCCCACAGAATATGGAGACCTGGAACAATTCTCAGTGATACAATTTTGGATTCTCTCTCCATAAATTTTCAAGCTCTTACTCTAAAATACACTGGGTTCATTAGAATCACTCCAAAATATGCTGCTTTAACATCTTAAAGAAAATCTTAAGGATTTTCATGAAGTGCAGGATAATAAACCAGTCCATCCTAGTGCTGAAGAAACAATTCTATCTTCTCTGGCCATAGGCTAAACTGTAGGCATTCTGCAGAGGATCCTGTTAGCCCAATTCTCTTAATATTCTGTTAGTCCCATCAGTGGCTTCTTATTGCAAAGGAAACTTGTGACACGTTTTACCTTCTCTTTGAAAAAGGCTGCAGCTGCCTGACTAGCAGAGATAGAATATGCACACATAAACATATACAGACAGCCAGTAGCTTTCAAATATCTTGAAGAGGAGATATTTCTGGGTTTCAAGACCATGACATTTGTGATCCCAGATGAAAAGGTGTGATAGATCTCAAGAAAATTAAACATCTTTTGAGTTCGTACATCAGGTTTCTTCTCCCACATGACACCTCAGTCCATGTCAAGGGCCTAATGGCACATTCGCCCACATCTCATTCCCCCTCCCCCCCCATCAACTACATCTGAAATAAGAAGGAGCTAGGATTGCCAGCCAGAGGAAATATTGTTGCTGGATATGAGACACTAGCAACAAATTTCAAGGTCTTTCTGCTCATTGTTTTCAGAGGGTCAGAACTTCCCTTAAAATTGCAAAATAGAAATGGTCATAGGCAATAGGTCTTAGTTTAGGGTTTTAAACTCACCCTTATTTCTTAGCTTCCTTTTTTTTTTAACCTGTGTCCCCAAATTTGTTTCTTTGTTCTTGTTCTTTCCAGGTTCGAGATAAAAAACTCCTCAACGATTTGAATGGTGCTGTTGAAGATGCCAAGACAGCCCGCCTTTTTAACATTACCAGCTCGGCACTTGCCACCTTCTGCATCATCCTTGTCTTTATCTTCCTACGATACCCACTCACTGACTACTAAAACATGGCCCAGCAATTGATGCTCAAAGTCCTCCATGCCAGAAGTAGCTGCCACGGAGTTTCTTACATATGGGACACAAACAACAAAACTCCCACATAGCCCCCTCTTAACGGCAGATGCCCCCTCCCTCAATACTAAAAGTATGCCCTAAGCTTCACCATACACCCAGCCCCTGCCCCCCCCCCCACCTGCCCCCCAGCCTGGCTGGGATGCAAA